TAACACCTCAGGGTCTTTACCCCAAGTGTTACTCCACATTGCAACACGGACACTAGAGATCCTCTAGTGCATGTCTAGTCCATCTGCATCACGCCCACCTTCACCAACTGCACCAACACCTGCACCCGCACTGGCACCCCGTCCTACACGTCGCACTCCCGCCACTCCAACCACACCCTCTCAATCCGCGTCATCCGCACCTCGCCGCACAACAACCATGTCCTCCGCCTCCGCATTCGCATCAGCCACCGGTCCACCGTCGATGAAACTCGACGTGATTGGGAAGCTCAAAGGTTCCAGCGACTACCCACACTGGTCCCTGATGATGCAGCAGTACTTCATCGCTGCACGCGCATGGAAGGTCGTCAACGGCACCGAGAGAGCCCCTGTCCCAAGCAGCTCCGTCTCCGCTGCGGACATCAAAGCATGGGAGATGACGAACGCATACGCGAGGTTTTACATCCTCAGCACCCTCGGCGACGAGCTCCTGCACCTCGCGAACCCAGTGGATATCACAGCCGCCGCGCTGTGGAAAAAGCTGAAGGACAACTACGCCGCCTCCACCACTATGTCGGCATTCGTCAAGCTCCGTGCGTACTTCTCGCACGCGATCACGGACAGCGATGACCTCGCTGCCCAACTCGACAAACGCGCCCAACTCTGGCAAGAGGTCAGCGCCTCCGGGATCCTCCAAACCCCGGAACTCCTGCAGATATTTGGCCTGCTCACGGCCCTCCCCGACTCGTTCAACAACGTCGTGGAGCCCATCCTCGCAGTCACCAAGCCCGCCGACTTGAAGCTCGACGACATCCGCAACCGTCTCCTCGACGAAGCGAAACGTCGCAGCTCCTCCACCAACGTCGCCGCCTTCCACGCACCGAAGGCGTCTACCTCAGGCAAAGCCAAAGCTGGCAAACCTGACAGCAAGAAGGGCAAGTGCAACTTCTGCCACTACAAAGACCACTACGAGCAGGACTGCAGAAAGAAAAAGGCCGCCGCCGAAGAGGCGCGGAAGGGCAGCAATGGCAAAGCCCAAAACAGTAAAAGTAATCCGTCCGGTAGTAGTACTGGTCACACATCTGTACATGTAGTCACCGCCGAAGGAGCCGCTGCTCCTGAGGCCGAAATTCACTCCGCTTCCTGGTATCTCCACGGTGTGAAACGCTGGATGTTAGACTCCGGCTGTACACGACACATTACGAACGACCTGAACGACTTCGCTGAGTACACCGCATTCGCGTCGCCTACATACGCAACACTAGCAGACAAGGCGAAAACGCAAGTAAGCACGCTCGGTTCAGGTGTTGTCAAGGGCACTACACTCGTTGACAACAAACCAGTAAACATCAGGCTAGAGAACGTTCTCTACAGCCCTGCAATGTCCGGACGGCTAATATCCGTCTCATGCATCGAAGACAAAGGCTTCGATCTCATCTTTGGGAAAGGACGAGCCCAAATCAAGCGTGGTAACACCACGTTTGGCATAGGCACCAAGTCCCGCGGTCAATATTGGTTGGACCTTACTCCACCTCCACCATCTGTCGCGGTCTCCACGCACAACGCCACTTCGCTCGACGTTATCCACCATCGGTTCGGTCACCTGAACTGGGAGGCAGTACGCAAGCTCGCCGCTGCTGATTCCTCTCCGGTCAAAGGCCTCATCGCTGCCGACATGGATAAACCTTCGCATCCCTGTGAAGGCTGCGTCTTGGGCAAAGCACACAGGCGTACATTCCCCACATCGTCCACCTCACGCGCCAACAAACCCTTCGACCTCATTCACTCTGATCTCAACGGACCTATGTCGGTGGTGTCCCTTATAGGCCACTGATACTTCGCTACCTTCATCGACAACTGCTCCGATGTCACATGGGTCTACTATCTGCAAACAAAGGATGAGTTCCTCTCCGCGTTCAAAGACTTCGTAGCCCTTGTTGCGCGACGGTTCGACACGGTCATCAAGGTCATTCGGTCAGATCGAGGGGGTGAATACCAGTCCAACGAGTTCATCAACTTGTTAAAGAAATCTGGAATCATCCACGAGCGCACGATACCCGGTACCCCACAGCAAAACGGCAAAGCTGAGCGCATGAACCGCACACTCGTAAAAGCCGCTAAGTCAATGCTACAAACCGCCGGGTTATCACACGGATTCTGGAAAGAAGCTGTTCGCACAGCTGTGCACGTATGCAACAGAGGCCCTAGGAAAGCCATTGCATGGCGTATGCCCCTGGAACGACTCACTGGCACCACACCGGACGTGTCCCACTTCCGAGTCTTTGGTTGCCAGGCCTATCGCCATATACCCGGGGATAAACGCAAGAAACTCGACGCTAACGCTGAGAGCCTAGTGTTTATCGGCTACGAGACGAATTCTAAAGGTTATCGTCTATGGGATAAACGTAGCAGAAAGATCACCACGAGTACTGATGTGATATTCGACGAGTCGACCTTCCCCAACAAACTCCTACCCTCACCGTCCTCGACACAACCGACCGGATCTACATCCACGCTGCCGTCATCTGTCGAACTCGAACTACCACCCCTTAACACGCCACCGGCTCCTACGCAGCCGCCACAGCCTGTACCACCTCCTACTCAACCCATCACACCAAAACCGCCTACAGCATCCCAAATACCACGCCTTACACCTCGAACAGAGTTGTATCCAGCTCCGCCAATTCCGCCAAGTGCACTGGTCAAGCCTGAATTCAAAGGCAAGGCCAAAGCCTCACCATCTTGCGTCGTCGCCCCTCCGCCACTCCAGCCAAATCCCAACACAACCTCGTGGGACTAAAACCCTTTTTCCAACCCTGAGCATGCCACGACGTCATCAGGCGTCCGCCGCGGTACCCGTGAGCGTGAAGCAACTCAGAAATGGACGAGCATTTGGCCTGGAGCGACCGAAGCGGACATCGAGGAAGCACTGAACACAGGCAAGGAACCGGGCGACATCGCTGCGATCGTAGGCGACTCCTCCATCGCTGGAGAGCCGCGAACCTACAAACAAGCAGCCGATGCACCGGATTCAGCGGAATGGATGACTGCCATGCAGGCCGAAGTCACCGGCCTCCTGGAACAAGGCACCTGGGAACTTGTCGACCTACCAAAGGGTCGCAAGGCGATCAAGTGCAAATGGGTATACGTTGTCAAGCGCAACGAGAACGGAGAAGTGGATCGCTACAAGGCAAGGCTCGTAGCCAAGGGGTTCACGCAAGTTCAAGACATCGACTACGAAGACACCTTCGCTCCCGTCGCCTGTCTAGAATCCTGGCGATACCTCATCGCCCTAGCGACTATCCAGGACTGGGAAATCCATCAGATCGACTTTGATAGAGCATATCTGAACGGAGAACTCGACGAGGAGCTATACATGGAGCAACCTGAAGGTTTCGTAACGGACGCAGGCAAAGTATGCCGCCTGCAGAAAGCAATATACGGGTTAAAGCAAGCGGGACGAACATGGTTCCTCACGCTCAAAGCCTGTCTTGAGGACATTGGATTCGCATGCCACGACGCCGGCGACGTATCCATCTTCATTCGCCGTCAACGAGGGGGATCCACTCAAATTTTAGTGGTTTACGTTGACGACCTAACTATGATGGGAAACAGCCTCGATCTCATCCAACAAACAAAAGAGGCACTGAAGGAAAGGTTCCAACTCAAGGACCTTGGCGAACTCAAGTATTACCTCGGCATTCGTGTCACGAGGGATAGGGGGAGTCAAGCTACATACCTCGACCAGGAAACGTACATCGAGTCCGTTCTCAAACGATTCAGATACGAAGACTGCAACCCCGCATCCACACCACTCGGCACTGACATCGTACTCGAGAAGAACGAGGAAGACCCCGCGGACTGCCCGCAAGACCGCATCAAGCTCTACCGCTCACTCCTCGGCTCACTCATGTACGCCATGCTCGGGACTTGCCCCGACATCGGCTTCGCCGTCGCCCGACTTTGCCAATACCAGGCAAACCCTTCACCGAAGCACGTAGCTGCCGCCTATCGTGTTCTCAAGTACCTTCGCGGCACCTCCAACTATCGACTCTGTCTAAGTCAGCACGACGAGACCGATAGCCGTTTGCTCGGTTACACTGACGCAGACTTCGCGAACGACAAGGACAACTCCGTCTCAACATCCGGCTGGGTTTACAAACTCGGTAGAGGCGCGACCAGTTGGTCTTCTCGCAAGCAACGCTCTGTGGCTCGAGACACCTTCGACGCAGAGTACTTCGCAGCCGATGAAGCAGTCCGACATTTACAGTGGCTCAAAATCTTCGCTAAGTACATCGAACACCCACTCGCGAAGCCTGTCTCTCTCCACTGCGACAACAAATCTGTCGTCGATGCTGCCCAGTCACCCAACATCAAGCATCGCACGAAACACACCCGCGTCAAAGCTCACGCTGTTCACGAGCAATTCGAAGCAGGTCTGATCGAACTTGTTAGGATTCCCGGTGTCGACAATCCGGCTGATATTCTCACAAAGCCTTTACCGGCTGAGGTACACAACCATCACACCCAGTCTCTTGGCCTCGTTCCGTATCGCCTCGCCAAGGAGGAGTGTTGAAGCGCCTAGTGGCTCTGGCTCGGCGTTCCGCCCGGCATGGACTTAAGGTGGACATCTTAGATTAGGCACTGCTAATACGTAGATAGTGATTGGACAATCATATGTAGTGCTCCCACGCACGGACCTCTTTATGGCAGGCTTCCCCATTCTAGCGGACTTTCAATTTCGCCCCTTTTTAGTATATAAGGACTCCTCTCGCATCCCCACTCTGCGTGCTCTTTCCCTTCGCACTCAGAGTAAGTTCCCTTCGTCGCCCTTGCGCATTATGTAGTATGCTCACCGGACCCCTGTCTAGCTAACACCGTGTGTATTAGGTATATAGCTATACAGTGTGCTCTTTCCCTTCGCACTCAGACTAACACCGTGTGTATTAGATCGTGCCCACGTGCCACTCGCCAGTTCGCGCTCGCGCAGCCCAGTAGTCGTATCACGACAATATGATATTCTGCAGCAAGCTCTTCAGGGCCACGCTGTGCACCATGCATGCAGGAGGACTGCTGGGCTGATAAATTTTGTGGACAGAGCGGCACGCTGGCAGGAGGCACATGCGTGTTATCCAGAGATGAGGATTGGTGAAGCAAGTGTTGGTGAACATCAACACGATGGTGTGCTCTGCAAGCCAGGCCAACAACTGGGACCACAGTATATCATATAGCATATGGCAGTCTTCCTCGTTCTTCAGCATGAGCCTGTTGAAGAGATGAGGATGAAGCTGCCTAGACCATGCTTGGAGACTAAGGAGAGCCGCGATACCAACTTCTGCATCAAAGCTTACGAGGATGTCGTAAATGTAGTCATGCAATTCAGGCGGGAGCCTATCCAATGAGAGAACGGGCGCAGGCCCAGGAGAAGGTGCAGATTTGTCATCTGCGGGAACAGTGATCAGAGCGGCCGCTTGGAGACCAAGATAACGACTTACGCCACTCAAAAGAACGACTCCTGTTGGGTGCATTTGGTAACGCGAGGTTTGAAAGTTGAATATTGCGCTGTTGAAGCCGATCCTCGAAGGGCGAGTTGAATGCGCTTCCATGGGGAGTGTCAGTAGGGCTTCCGTTACGGGTGTGCGCCGCCCTGGCGGGGGGCGGGCGTTGGTCGTTGGGCTGCCGGGGCGGTTTGCTGCCCGGCGGCTCGGGGTCCCCCTTGGACACTTCTCCAACCTCAAAGTGGGAATATTTCACAGCAGCATGTTCGCCGCGCGCACAACTTGCCATGACGTTGAAATGTCGAACGTGGTACAGCTGAAGCAGCGCGGGCTTTCAGAGGCTAGTGCGGCTAGCAACATTTCCGGCCGCCACGGGAAGCGGACACAGCGGGCCCGACGTGCC